CCCCAAAACCCCAAAACCCCAAAACCCCTTCTCGTCTAGATCGAATTGAATTTAAAATTAATGGTAGTAGAAAAATTTGTATCCATAGTTCCCTTCAAGTGGTCTTGGACTCATTTCAACTTTCCTTCTTTGATTCTCAGGCACATTGATTTCATCTGGTCGATATTTCTCTCGTGGAGCTTCTATACATAATCTAATATAATACTTTTCAAGATTTGGATGTTCGATGGTGCCTCCTAGAAATAAATTAAGGATCTTCTTTTCAAACCAATATTCTCAAAATCTTACCTTGCTATTTCTGGTTATTTCAAAGTTATTTATCGGGCTCACTTGGTTTACAGGAGTTACCTTTGGCTTTTTAGATCATTTCTTCTTGATATCAATAAAGATGCAGACTAATAGTTAAGGACTTGTCAGATCTGACAACTTACTTATGGAAATAATCTAGATATTATTAACATTTGAAAAGATCGATAATTTATAAATAAAAGGTTCGAGGAATGGTATGAATTAACTTACGAATCCGATGAACACATTTCCTGTCGATGTGTAAATGTAAGCCTATAATGTTATTTTTGAGCCTTACATATGCGACTGTGTCATCCCAGGCACTCTTTTTATGAAGATAAATGAATAATATTGCATAGCCACTGACCATCACTTCGCTGATGACTTCTCTGATGTTGTCTCGTGTCATTTCGAATGGACGATGAATCAACACATACACTGCAAACATAAGTTGTACCAATCAGAACAGTCCAATTCGGACATAATTTAACGAGGAAGGCAACAACAGCAAGATCAGACATAGAAAGAACTTTCTCCATGAGTTTTGTATGAGGTATAATCTTGACCACTTCTCCTTTTTCAGTCCTGCAAAAATTTCGCTAAAGTGAGGACTCAAGTATTCAGAATCGATAGTGTGGTTTCTCTGCCAATAGGCTCACTCACTGAGCAGGAACACCACCAATAGAGTCACTACTATTCACGAAAACACCAACGAAATCATTTTGTTGCCATCAGTGTTGAAGGCATACATCTCTGAAAAGCATGAAATGCAAGTAACCATCAAAGTCTCAGTGAGCAGTCGGATGTAGAAGTTAAATGTAAGGTGATTAAAGATCTTGGATATTATTTTTTGTAATCAGTTTAACTCTGTCTCAATCTATAAAACAAATGTAGAGCAAAGAGTATCAAATGGAATTTTAAAATAAGGAGAGCTATAAAAATCAAAGCCATAGTATTATAAATCAAGGTTTTCTGCTTTATCCTAATAATTTTCAAAGCTCTATAGATTTCAGAATTTTAAGGTTTTAAATAAGTAGACATTAAAGAATTTTTTTTAGTCTAATAAAATAGATGGGAAGAGTTTTCTACCCAGGCGTTCGTAAAAACTTACAACTAGTTTTGGTAGATAAAATCAAATAAAGGGAACAATAATAGGAGTTGGAATTGATTGACTGCGCTGAATATGCTCTGTAGAGACCCTTCGCTAGAGATTGCAGAAATACCACTGACAACCATTGTTGTTGTTACATCAAACTGAAGAGGCTACGGCTACAACTTGTCCTTGTTCTTTTATTGCATTACCTTTCTCATCTGTCTGATTCGGATAAATTACTGAATCTCGAGAGGAATTAGTCTTATTGTAAGCAGTCCAGCTTTATAATATAAACAACATCTGTAAACTCTTGGTATTCTATCCTCATCCTTTTTGCATGGCTGGATCAAAAATATGAGTAAGAGTTAACATCCTAAAATTGTTAGAAGAAGTTACTAGGATAAGCATCTCATCTTACCATTGATGAAAGCTTTTCCATCTCTATCAGAAATGATGGCCTAAACAGGTCTGTAGTTTATGGAAATTAATTTTAGCATTACCATTTAAAGTGAGACCAAATTCGACATCTCCAAATTTTTGAGGGATGAGCATAGTATCAATTACAGTACTTCAGTAATTTGATGCAGCTAGAAACTGTAATGACAATTATTCTCAACCCAAATTCAGAAGATAATTTTGTCCAGATTAGATTTACAGAAATAGATCCTTTTGTCCAATTAATGCACTGCCTGAAATTTTATGTATAATAACGTAAGTATTAAAATTGTAGCCATTAAAAAATGTCTTAGAATAGCATTACTTTCAAGCTCTAATACAGTCAGATTAACATCTCCTTCAATCCCAATTATGCAAGCCCATTGCTATATATCTTCCAACAACTTTATATCACTCAATCTCTCAAACAACAGAGGGTCATCAATACACACAACATCTCCACTCCAATCTCATCTATCCCTAACACCAAGATCCATACCCCTCCTACATCCTCAGGATCTCCATCCTCATTTTCAATCCCACCAGCCCCCAACGGGGTTTTGGGGTTTTGGGGTTTTGGGGTTTTGGGG